TAAACGTTATAAAATACAAAAGCTAGGATTTAGGAATTGATTGGATTACTGCTCTCTTTTTGTGCCGTAGTATCTTGATTTATCTTGCGAGGGAAGCTTTTCACTCTTAAAGGATGCCTGTCATTCTTAATATGTTGTAGCGCCTTCAATTTCGTATGATACTATGCAACACCTCTGTGGTGAAATAGTTGCTTGAGGCGCCGTGGCACGCTAAGGCGCGGCGCGGCGCCTACAAACCTAAGGGGATACTTCAAGCATTACGCAATGCGTGAAGTATCCCCTTAGGTTTGTAGGCGCTAGTGCGCGTCTCGCGCTGGTAGCACGCGCGTCGCCCGGAGGGAATTTCATTTTGTTGTCACGGAGGTAGGCAGTAAGTTAAAAACTTGGAGCAAATCCACTCGCGAAAATTTGCCTATATATTGTTGTTCCTCGAAGAGTTCTGCCATGATAGCGAAGGGAGCCGCCTGCCGCAAGTGCAAACATGAAATGTTGAGAAATGGGCTCCGTAGCCTCGGAGCGGAACATTGTATTGAAGAAGGCCTCCGCCCTTTGTCAAATTGCCACCAATTATCTAAAATACTCTTAGAAATCGTTTAGATCATTGTAAATTCACCAATTTTATTTCAATTATATGAAAAGCATATCATTCATTTACATGTCAGGCTAGTGTTCCAATATCGTTGTAAGGCGCGATTCGACTCACGTAGAGTACGTATGTCGTTTCTTATAACCGGACAATTCAAATAACCCGTAACCAATGTTAAATAAAACCGTTAATATCTTCTTTATGAGTGGACTTCAGTAATTGACGATGCGTGAATTATGTTTTGCGTGAAATTTTGTTAACAGAGTTCTTAAATTCGTACCTTGTCTAGTGGTTCATTTGGCAAAATGGGTTGGCAACTTTGCCGCACTCTACAATATAAAATAAGCAAGCTAATAATTTTAGATTTTTTTCCAATTCTGAGGAGGGGGGTTGTAATGAAGCTTTAATGTATGGAAAAACTGCATATCTAACCTCAAAATTACAAAAATGGCAAAGTTTTCTCGTTGTCCTACAAAATTGTCAAGTTTACAAGTAGGCAGAATTGTTTTTTCATGTCGTGATGAAGGGAGGTTCAAGACGATCCTTTAACATAGACGAATTTCTGCCGAACGGAACTATGTGCATTATGACGTGAGCCTGAGCCCTGTTCGGCATATATTCTTTTGGGTCACAGGGCTCATGCCTTAATGCACATAGTTCCGTTTGGCAGAAATATGTCTAAATACAGAATGACGATGTACACTTTATGATGACGGAGAATCGGGAACTTTGTATGAGCCATGAATTCATATTCTGTTCCCAAAATTCAAATTTAAGAGAATGGTGCCTTTGCTTAAAGTAAGACCAACTGGAAATTTTGGGGTAGTACTTTGATCTAAGCACGGAAATTGAAGGACATGTGACGTGAACTTTTAAAATAAAAATTCTTGAGCCTTAGGGTAAATTTTAAGGTAAAACTTAGTTGTACTAACCACTGGTTAGAGTAACCAAAACTGAAAATTTTGACGCAACTTCGACCTTAGAAGCTCTCAAAAATTGAGGGACATGATGACAACTGATGTGACGTCCTGAGGTTCCAGGACGAAAATTCTCGAGTTTTAGCTTAAATAAGGTTAAAATTAGTTTGCAACTTTACGATGCCGTTACCTTACCCCTCAAATTATTAACAACGAAATAATCTGTATTTTAAAAGAATAAAAGGAATGACAAGTGACGGTCGAAGGAATTGGAAAGAGATGTCTCTCTCAGTTGGGTTCGACTATGTTTAGCAACTTAAATATAACCTCACGGCAAGGCGTGAAGTGTCGCGAAAAATTGAAGGGAGACTGTCCTGTCTAAAAATAAATTAGTTTGAATTACGAAATATCCTCAAGAGGCTGCAGCTTGCAAATAATTTAATCGTATTGTTTAATTGGACAAAATTTGTCTATTTAGAACTACAATTTCTGTCTCAGCTTAGAAACAACGTATGTACATTACTTTCACCTTGCACATAAGTGTTTTTCACCCATGAGTCAGAAATTGTAGTCCTGAGTGGGTCCGTTGCACGCAAGAGATATAGATACATATTTATACGCTTCACAGGTAAAATTTCACTAAAATCAAGTTAGGCACGTCAAAAACGTCTGAAATCCATTCTTCAAAGCGCAACCTGCGTAGTTTCTAACACGCTTTTTCAAGTTTTCCGCGTCTGCAGGCAGTTTTTTTTTCAGTCATCGCCGACCAGGTTTGCATAGGTAGAGGAGTAAGAAAAACTAACCTGAGTAATAATCAAACGATCTCTCTAACTTTTTCTTAATGACTTCAATCGTTTTCAAGCGTTTCTTTTTCTTCCTTTATTTTGCAAAAACGAAAGCTTTGAATGAATTGAAATTTTACGATGAGGAGTGTTTTATTGAGTATTGCCCGATCATCCTTGGTGTTCAATACAGTCCTCATTCATACCTAAACTCAACGTGTTCAGTTCTTCATTCCTTCCCGTTATTTCACCGATTCCGTCAGCTAACAGTTCGCGATCGGGCAAACCTGACTGCCGGCCACCAAGAAAACCTGCCCGCATACGCGGTTTTGAAAAAGGGTGTTACAAACTAAGCAGATTGCGCGCCAAAGAGTGGATCAGACTCTTTTGATGTGCTCACCGTAATTTTCGGGCGAATTTACATTTAGGAAGTATATTCAGTTGGCTTTTCAACAGATCCATTGCAAAATGTAGTCCAATTCATGCTAGGCTGACAGACTCATGGCTCTTAGACTTGTGTCTACGTCTCCCGAATAGAGGAGCGAAGACCAATGAGAGGGGGAAAATGAGACAAAGAGGAACAGGAGGAGGAAAAGGGAGAATGAGACGTAGAGCAATAAAATCCTCTTTTTTCTTTTCTTTCACCCTCTCTTCTTCTCCCTCCTCTCCTCCTTCTATTTTTCTCCTTCGTCATCTCTTATTCTCCATCTTATTTTTCCATATCCCCTTCTTTCTCCTTCAGTTCTTCTTCTTCTTTTCTTCTTCTCTTATTTCCGATTCAAATGTCCGTTCTCATAGAGTCTGTCAGACCAGGCTTAAAACAAATTGGTTTTACCATTTGGAACTTTCTGCAGCCTGTGTCACACTATCAAACTAGCCATCAAAATATAAAGATCAGGTGTTGTGATTGGTTTATTCGATGACTTGGACCAATCACAGCACCTGACCTTCACATTTGATGGAGTATTTTGATAGTGTCACACAGGCTTGAGAGGTCCCGATTGCGACCGGGGAAGGGAGGGGATGGAACCTCAAGATTTTTTTCAGTTGCTTGAATTATTTTGCACGCCAACTTTGCTTCATCATTCACCGGTCCCGTGCAATAATGAGAGCAAGCCTTTCAAAATGGGGCATCGATGCGACTGTTTGAGTGTAGCTGATCCAAAATAAAAAAAAAAACATCTATTGGTGCTTTTCGATCAACACAAGTCGCAAACTAGTATTAACACGTTCACTATTGATTCAATTCCTTGCCTGCGATTTACAGGTATGTTGATCAAAACTTATAGGCGCCTCTTAAGCCCTGCATAGACGATCAAATTCCGAACCAACTCCGATCAAAGTAGACATGCTGATGACTGGTGGTCACCATATACCATCAAATTTTGACGGGCCGCACTTTTTTGTTCAAAGTAAGATCAGAACGGAGTGCCACCATTCATCATTTCCTGCCACAGGAAACATTTCTGCCAAGTTTTCATTTTAAAATAAAGCAAATTAATGAGTTTAAGACTGATGACTCCCGACACATTGATGCTACTTTGATCGGAATTGGTTTGAGGAATTTGATCGTCTATCCAGGGCTTTAAACTCTCGACAGCGGCATCGATGACTCGTTTTGATGGCCTCATCATTTTGATCGTAAAAACCGATCTAATAATTCTGCCCTTGACGATCCTGTCCGAAGTACAAGGTCTGTTAGATTAGAAACCGGATTTTGGTCATAACTAGCCCACAATGCGTCCAAATTACGTTTTCTTGAGCTTTTCTGATAGCTGAAAATATATTTAAGAACGCTACTTTCACAAATTTGAAAAAGCCAAATCAGCTTCGTCGGTATGTGGCTTGAAGTAAGGCAACCTCAAGGGTGTTTTGCGATTTTTATGTTTGACCGAACTTGTCTCTTTTTTTTCGGTCTTGCACTACAGTTTTCAACCCACAAGGACGATTGGAGTTTCGTCTCCATATCGTAGCCGTACACTAAAGTATTGTCATCGAAAATTATCCTATCCAAAAATGTAGGATCATTGTTAGAACGTTCAAGCAGCTAAAGGGAAATTGACATTTGGTTGGATTTTCGTTCAACGGACAACAATCAAGGGACAAATGTACCTGAAACTCGGTGTGTGTCTACATATTCTATCAAAATTGTATGTACAGAACCTTCAGAAATTAGACTCTGTTCAACAAGCTCGAAACGACCATTTCCGAGCTTTTTTGCCCGAACTTCTTTCACGTGACAAATTTCAGTTGCCGTTGAGGGTCGATTCCCATGCTCCTCATCTTTGACGAACTCCTGACCAGTTTTGAATCGTTTAACCCATTCAAAACAGTGGAAACATCTCATACAATGATCATAGTAAACATTTACTTAGCATATACCAAAAGTTTCGGTATAAGGTATACCGAGTTTAAAGCATAATTTAATGTTGAATCTTTGCTCTATCAGTGATGTTATGATGAAAATCGCAAAACGCACCTGACTTACTCGTATTCAAGATGACACAGAATAAACACTAATCAGAATAAACAAAATCTGTGAACGTAGCGTTCTTAAGTATATTTCCAGCTATCAGAAAAGCTCAAGAAAACCTAATTCGGACGCATTGTGGGCTAGTTATGACCAAAATCCGGTTTCTAATCTAACAGACCTCATAATTGTTTTGCAATACACTTTATTCTATTTTTTCTGAATGAATATGATAACAATATGTATATGACGTGAAATATATATGTGTAATAATAGGGTTTTTGACAAAGTATATTATAAGTTATGATAAAACAGCAATAATAATAAACAGAAATAAACAGCAACATAAAGCAGCCTGTAAGCACGTATAGATCAACGGACGCTCAGATCATCATCGTCAGGAAGCACCGTTTGCGCAAACGGGCACACCGAAAACTGGGGACTAGGAGGTATTAGAAATCCGATTTTATTATCATTTTATTGGATTCTGAATCCAGTGCGCACTCTGCTTTTAAGAGTTTTCTCTTACGGGCAGGTTACTGAAAATTCATTTGCACATCAAATTCCTATGAGAACTCCATTAGTTCCAGATTATTTTATTTATGGTCCTAATTGAAATCGTTAGAAGATTAATTCGATCTTAATCGCTATATCAATTATAATTTCTGATCATGTATCAATTAAACTTGTTTAACATGTTTAATTGATAAATGATCAGAAATTATAATTGATATAGCGATTAAGATCGAATTAATCTTCTAACGATTTCAATTAGGACCATAAATAAAATAATCTGGAACTAATGGAGTTCTCATAGGAATATGATGTGCAAATGAATTGTCAGTAACCTGCCCGTAAGAGAAAACTCTCTTAAAAGCAGAGTGCGCACTGGATTCAGAATCCAATAAAATGATAATAAAATCGGATTTCTAATACCTCCTTGTCCCCAGTTTTCGGTGTGCCCGTTTGCGCAAACGGTGCTTCCTGACGATGATGATCTGAGCGTCCGTTGATCTATACGTGCTTACACCTTGTCGTTACTCCTTGTTTTCACTATCCCAACAGCGCAAAATCAAAATTTGCGCTCTTGGAGTTTGCGCTTTTGGAATGTTGCCGTTTGTAATGCGTGTTGATAAGTTACGTAGGAATTTTACTAGGGTCATCAATATGAATACCGTCTTGCTGCAGTACTTTTCCATACAATTTAGCAGATTTCCTGCAATATTTGAGTCGGCGGGGCGGGGGCGTGCGTTCCTCTGGGCTCTGGTGCTCGGAGCGTTCCTTCATCTTCTTGCAGAAGCACTTCGGCTTCGTGTCTGAGCAAGCACCATGTGTCAATTCCCTACAGGATTCGGGGTGGGACCCTATTGCGCCAACAAATTCCGGTATTCCTTCTAAATATTCGTTTCTCAAGGTTTCGATTCGATTCCATTCATTTGCTATTTGTTCGCAGGCTTTCATGCACTTTACCCCTCGGGCTTCTGGGGATTTCTCATCTGAGCTCCAATACCATTTTGAGCAGGGGTCATTCGTTTTGTGGCGCTCCATCTGAAAAGGCATGAAATGATCATCAGAGCTGTTTAAGTATGCATTAATGAGCAATGACAATTTTTCAACTTGGCAACACTGTTTTTCCTCCGTGTAAACCCAATTGAAATTCGGTAGCTAAGGAACAATTGCTGCCTGTCTGTATCTGTAAATCGACGATTTTGTAGCACTAAGAAAAAACTTCGCCATTTTAGGTCGGATTTCCAATATCATATATATAAGCTCCAAGACCTCCTTTTGCATATCCTCGTTCCAGCGCTCTACCGGGCCAATTTCCTTCATTTTTGCGGCTATCGACAGGCAATTGTCGCTAGATGAGCCCGCTCTATTCAGATTTTGAAAATGTGACCCAGGTTTTTTACATTACGGGGTAAAGTTGCGAACCCTCCCATTTAGACAATGTAAATTTTTCATTTTTTGTCATAGTTCGTTTGAGCATTCTACCGAGCCGATTTCCATGATTTTTGCGGTTATCAATAGGCGATAGTCCCTAAATAGTCCCCCTGGGAATATGACCCAGATTTTTTTATAATAGAGTATACTAGGGAGCTTAGTAAGGGAGCTTAAAATTTGCAGAAAATTGTGAATCTTGGTCTGTTAGTAAGGTAAGGTAAGTGAATCGAAGGTATGCTCCTTTACTACAGACCATCCAAAAGGGACGAAACGCTCCGCTTCGTTTCGTTTCAGTCTTGGCCTGAAGTTTGAAATGAATGCCGGTTTTCTTATTTGATTCTTATTGGTCCAATCGTTCACGGCCAAAAGGAGATTGGACAAATGAAAATCGGGTATTAAAATCTTTTAATTTTTTTGGTCGTTCTTTTGTCGAAGCGGGCCTAAGAGAGGGCGAAGCGCCCTCTGGGGGTTGGGCCGTGTAGCGGCCAGGGGGCACAGCCGCCTAGTTTTTTATACTTTGCAAAGTCATTACAGCACTCGAGTGCGGAAATGGATAAAACTAAATGGATCAGCTTAGGTATTTTAAACCGTAAAAATGCGGCAAAGTTGTCAACTCATTTTTATCAATATTTTCAGTTTATATAGGGGTATGGGCCTGTTGCAAACTTTCGCTAGAGCAAAAATAAGAGTTGTTCCTTGTAGATAATGTCTCAAAAATTACGATGAGCGCATTGGCAAACTCTGAAATGCACTCCTAACTTCACAATGTCCGTAAGGAAACTGAGATTGTCAAGCTTCCCGCTTCAAAGAGTTTCACGCCATCGAGTTTCACGCCTCAAACACGATACCACGGCACAGCTGAACATCTCGTTAGAGGAGTCGTTCCATTCAATCCCTGCTCAACATGGCCGATGCTTCTGCGTGCAAGTTGAGGAGTGCACGACACGAGGTCAATCAAGGCGGACATCTATCAACGCGAGAAAAATAAAGAGTGCTGTAAACACGCCGATTGTTATCAGATGGTTAGAATCATCGTCCCGTTACATGCGTTTTGGCCAAAGACATAAAGACGGAGCGCTCGTATCTAAAAGCACGGGGAAAAAGTGAAGCTAGGTTCGGCGCTGCGCGCTTGTGTGAGTGTGTAAATGAGCGCGGGAATCCATGGCGGCAAACGGAAATTTGATTTGAACTTGTCCTCTTGATTTTTGCACATTTCTTCTTCGAAACGTATTTTAAATTCCTAAAACGAATATACTAAGAAAGTTCGGTCTGCGTCCTAACATAATACACCTATTTTTGCTCAGTAACAGGCAGTAATCTCAGATAAAGTTAGTTTTTCTTCTGCTCATGGTGGTTCTGCAGGTTCAAACAGGCCGTTACAGTTCTAGATCAACGTTACTCCCAAATGAAATTAATCGGTCGACGACGGACGGAAACTAACCTAGAGTTAAAAAAATATGAGTTTGTACCTGAATTTGGGCAAAAATCAACCTAAAATACTTTGGTTCCGCAATTTTATTTAGTTCCCGCCCTACATTTGAATTTCAAACTTGTCCCGATTTCGCCGCCAATCCTCTAGCCAATCGTAGAGGTGGTTGAAAAGAAGCTTCATTTTTTGCTTTCAGCCCTCCGTCTTTATGTCTTTGGTTTTGGCGGATTGGCGTCGGCTATGTTGAATATTGCGTAGTATTCTTGTGAGCAGGAGTTGGATGGAATGAATCCTCTAACGAAATGTTCACCTGTGCCGTGGTATCGTGATTGAGGCGTGAAACTCGAAAAATCGCAAATTTCTTAAGCAAATTAAGAAGTAAGGAGTGCATTTCAGACTTTGCCGATGCGCCCATCGTGATTTTGGAGATACTCTCTACGAGTAACAACTCTTTTTTTGCTCTAGTAAAAGTTTGCAACCGGCCCATTGTATTAGCCATAGAATATTGTAGAGTTTAGATGAGGCAAACTGCCTTACACAAACTTAAATCGAAGAAAATCAGTCCGGCCAACTTTCAAGAATCGCCACTGTTAATGAGGCTCTTGGTGCAGGAAAGGCACTTCTAGGTTGAGCTGTTTCAGAATTGCCGATGCTACTTCATATTTTAGGGA